AATCATGAGCTATAAAAGTCACTAACATTTCTGGTATAACATTTCAATAATTTCTAAAACAGCAACTTTTTTGTCTACTACCTATCAACCTACCTGATCACGTCAGCGGTGATAGCACCTAGATGGTTCGGACTATCGCTAAAAGATTTCTCCACCTTACTTGAATGGTCTGTAGGCATCTGCTTTTGATATTCCGATAAATATATACACATTTTTTTATAAATGGTAAACATACCATGCACATACTTAAATATCTTTTCAACCCAACAGATGATGCTACATGTCATTGGATAGACATGCAACAGTTTCTAAAAGTAAAGTTTATACTTTATTCAGGTATAACATTAAAAGTAAACAAACAAGAGTATTAAAAAATCATTACTTTTAAAATGAAGTGGGGATCATGCTACAAAAAAGTTATGAAACAAGAATTAAAACCACAATCACAAATTTATAAGATTAACTCCCTACTGTGGCAGCTTTAAACACTTTACTGTAGGCCAAAGTAAGGATTAAATTTTACAAATTTGTGATTGTGGCTGTAATTCTTGTTTCATAACTTTTTGTAGCAGACTCCCTACTTCATTTTAAAATTAATAATTTTTTGATACTCTTGTTTTATATTATGTCTTCATATGAATCAAACAAGTATAGACACCATATCTTACATTGCATGTTTTGGTGAATGAAAAAAAACTACATTAGGTCTTCATGTGAATCAAGTATGTATAAAGACTTTAACTCTACTTATGTTTTTATATGAAACAAAAAAGTTAAACATTTTTTACATCACCTCATGTAAATCATGAAAAATACCCACTTTACATGACATGTTTATGAACACTAAAGAGGTTGGCCACATTATCTCTTATCATGTATGATTTTCTCTACATTTTTTAGTCAGGACAATTTACCTTTTTTTTTGTCACTTTGTGACTGTTACAGTTTTTAATAGTTTGCTTAAAATTGTTGTTCAGACTTGTAGTCCCCTGACCCTCAATGAAAATCTGTCTATATAAATCATAAATCAAGAAATCGCTCAAGCTTTCATTTTACATAATTTAGTCAAGTCTGTACAACTGTGTAAAACTTCCAAGTCGGATAAGCTATGGATGTTACTTAATGTTTTAGCTTTTACCAGGCTTTATATTGTGAAAAGTTTCACTTTCTGTTTGAGTCAAGAAAAAGAAAAAAAATCCCATTGCTAGTGTAAAAATGTTTTTAATTTTCTCAAGAACATGTGTACTAAATGAAATTCCATGTACTAAACTGTTTAACATAACCATTTTCATAGCCCTTGCCGTCCAACCTGTTCCTTCTTATCACTATCCCAGCCAAGAAATAGCCATCACAACTTCTCGAACTCATACCTCACCAACTACAGAGATTACTTGCATTCCTGAACTGAAAACCTTTCAGCAGTCCCCTCCTAAAAATGATGGATTTTTTCTTCCTGGACAAAGATGTGAATTTTCCTCACCTAACCAGCTGGGTCCACGTCACCAGCAAAATGTTACAATACAGGTAAATAAATTTTTATTACTGCTTTATTAGAAGCATGTCACAGCAGAAATATCTACATATAGCATCAGATGTCTTCAATTTGTAGCAGCATGTTACGGTACTGGTACAGATCTTCTCCTGGCTCCAGTTTATTGGAAACATGTTAACCAAATGTACATGGAGTTGGTCCATTAGGCTAACTCCATATTGGAGAAGAAATCTTGATGATAATTCCTAATTTACTATCTGCATTTACGTGAAATGTGGCAAACTTTTAGTAAAATTCACAAGTCTGTTGTACACAAAAATACAGATGTATTACAAGAATATTTGCGCTCAAGATATGTCTGTGAATTCATGATGTCAGTCACACTCAAACTCCGACAAGTCTGAGTGTAAGGCAATGTACATGTGAAGAATAAAAAATACTTTTGTCCATTGTACAGTTTACATATTGCACTTGCATAACCTCTAGAACCTCTGAAATGTACGTCTATAGTTTTTTCAGTATTAATATATATTTTATCTGGTATTTACTCTCCTCTACCACAAACTGTTGCTAAACCAGCAATGTAGGGTACAGTGACTAGTTGATAACTCTGACGCAAATACATAAAACCTTCTTGAATGGCACTCTGTGAAAGGTTGTGGCATGCAAGATTTGACTTCCACTCATACATATACTGTAAATGTACTGGTAAAGCTTCCTTTCACTTTATTAAAAAATGTTTTTGCACTGGTAACATTTTCCTCCTGTTGTCTCTTCTGGCTTCACTTTATTAAAAACATGTTGTACAAATCTCTTTGCTTTATCAACTGGCTTCACTTTATTAAAAGCATGTTGTACAAAACCCTTACTCAGTCAACTGGCTTCACACATTAAAAGCATGTTGTACAGATCTTCCTGCTTTGTCAACTGGCTTCAGTTTATTAAAACCTGTTTATGTAATAGTAGTAACCTTCACTTGCTTTGTCAGCTAGCTTTACTTTATTAAAAACATATAATGAACTGATAAAGAAACTTCTTGCAGTTTCAATGATTTTATTAAAAGCATGTTAGAGTACAAGTTTAATTTTCTTCACTTCACTTTACTAACATATTACAGTACAGTAATATTGTTTCCTTACAGAATTTTCTAGTTCAATTTTATCAAAATGGTTACAATTATAGAGATATTAATAAAGAAGTTATCCACACAGTATTACACGAGTATTAAAAGAGTTTATTTCTCATATAAATTTGAGTCTTGCATACCCTTCTTGGCATTTTTGAATAAGTTTATTTTTAAATTAAAGGTTTTATGGTTTCAAAGATTTTGTACCCTGGTAAATCAAAGCTAAGGTCTTTAGTAATATAAATATACACACACACAGATTAATACCTTATCTACAATAATTAGTAGTATTTTAAATCTTTTTATTCTCTATAATTGTCAATTAAAGGATTAACATTTGTGTTTAGCACTTAGAATTGATAACCAATTGAAAAATAATTGTGGAAAAATCAGTAAACTGTCTTTGTCTTTGAACTTTCAGCTGAGGTCTCCTAATAGGGGGCATTCCTTAGAAAGCTTGGATATGGATGACTCTGTCTCAACGATAGCTTATCCACATTACATTCAATCAGATACATGGTATGACACTGTGAGTGCGTGGAGACATAATGGCTATGATACAGATAGTGAACTGAGTGTTCAGGCCAGTGAGTGCTACAACATGTATGTTAGTGAAGGTACACCAACTCTGCATAGACCCAAAGGAATGGTAAAACCTCGTCCTGTCGCAAAAATTATTGCAAAGACCAGAAGAGAGGAAGCAGAAGGTAGTGAAATAACTCAATGCATAGACAGAAATCCTAAAACAGCCCTCAAAAGTAATGACCATGATATAGATGGATGGTCAAGTCTAGAGGGGTCTCCGCGACATATAATACCTGGTAGGACTTCACAGTTATATGGGACTTTGAAATCAAAACGAACTCCACCACCACCTCCAAAAAGGACCAATTCCATGAGATGTGATACTCAAGATGATGAAGATCTGGATTCCATGCAAGATAAGGCCTTTGCTACATGTGTTCAGAGTTTGAGGTCTCGATTTGACCAAGCTACTAACAAGCAAAATGAACTCTTACTCCCACCACCCCTACATGAGGAGCAACTACCTTCACCCACCCCATCAGAGGACTTCCCTCCACCTCCCTCTCCTTTACCCTCTGCTTTAGAGGACTCCAGAACAGCATCTGTAACTGATGGGTTGTGCAAAGCATCAGGGACACATCTTTTGCCCAGTGCCAAAGACTCAGTGCAATCAGATGAGCTTAGTGCTAATCCAGTGTTTCGACAAAGAAGAAAGGACTCTGCCGACTCAAATTCTTCTACTTCAAGCACTGACTCAAACTCCTTACCATTTGCTAATGACAATGCTGGCACCATTAAACAACGAGTCAGCAAACAAGACCAGTCGACCCCAGTTGGTATGTCACCAGATGTATATTATACACTAAAAAAAAAGTTCATAAAATTTTTTGAAGAAAAGTTTTTTAGGATAATATACTGTTAAGACCATAAATTGTGTACAACTATGATGTTTTTGGATTCAATTTACTAGATTCTCTGAAAAGTTGAACCTGTTTCAGTAATATCTGAGTAACACAGAAATAGTTATCTTTTATCACTTCATAAGAAAACAAGGCTAGGAAAGAAAGGAAAAAAAGTGTTGACTGAAGTACACCAAGTTTTTGTCTGGGTTTTTTGTCTTCTAGTTTTGTCTTGAAAATGTTTAAGATACATGATATATGTAGAAATTAAAACAAAAGTGTACAATACTTTTAGTACACATCACCACTTTTCATTAAACTATTGAGTGGTTGATTAAAGGAACATAATTAAAGTTTTACATATTATATCAATTACCAATTATATTGAAAAATTGCTAACTGGTTAGTAGATGATCTATTATTGAAAATTCTTACTGTTGCTCATTGGCAGTCTCACTTGATTGGCATTGTGTTATCAGTGAGATGTGTATCGTACAACTAAATAAATAGGTGATTATTTAGTTACCAATATACTATCAATAACTCTTGAAGTCGTGTATTTTAATATAAAATATCAATACTGATAAACTGTCATACCAGTAAGTTCACGTTGTCACACTCCATTGCCTGGGGCCTGGCATGGCCAGATGGTTAGGGAGCTCGACTCGCAATTTGAGGGTCACGGGTTCGAATCCCCATCCCACTAAACATACTTGCCCTTTCAGCCATTTTGGCCTTATAATGTTACGGTCAATCTCACTATTTGTTGATAAAAGAGTAGTCCAAGAGTTGGCGGTGATGACTAGCTGCCTTCCCTCTAGTCTTACACTGCTAAATTAGGGATGGCTAGCGCAGATAGCCCTCATGTAGCTTTGTGCAAAATTAAAACAAACAAACAAACCATTGCCTGAGTGTTATCATCAAGTTCATTGAAGTGGAGATATGAGATAGTGTCGTTTTAAGTACTTAACACTCATCCTACTACTTTTTATTAATACATAATATTAAGGTTCTTTTCATATTAAGATTGCTAGCCCAGTCAGATTTATTAACATCATAGAAATGATCCAGTGAAGGTGTACAATGTAGCATCTTTGACTCTCACATTGTGCTGCAACGTGATTTAAGGATAAAGTAAACTGTGGGATAACACCTCTTTAAAATCCTTCAAATTCTCTCATACGGTCTGTTCCACAAACAGTACCAAAGTAACAGATTTCCAAAGCATGCTACACTGTGTACTGTATGATACACTTTATGTAACATTACATATTAATGATACAAGTCATGAGGATTAAGTTTTTTTATTTTAAAGAACATACTTAGTATAAGTCAGTTCTTCGTGAAAATCAAGATGAGAGATAAACCTGCTATTCTCTAAGTTTGTTAAATCAAAATATGCAAACCTTAAATATGGAAAATACAGTTGCTGTAGTGATTTATTTAAAAGCCCTTTGTTGACAGGTTTTACAATGATGTTGAATGATTTTATAGGTTTAGAACATCTTAACGATTTTGTAAACAACACATAAATATTATCTGTGAACTATTGCTACATTAATAAGTAATTTAAACTTGTGTGCACTGTTTTATACTTATTTTATCTTCTGAACACACTAAATAAATTAGCTAAATGCTTGGTGGCAGCATCAGTTCAAGTTAGGAAATACTTCAAGCAGAATGTTATTATAACAAAATTCAGTCTGTCTTTCTTACATTGCCATACATGTTTCTCCTTGTGGTTACCTACAGTTTTATGTGATTTCTAGTATTTTCTAAAGAAAATGTTGTTTTTTAAAGTTTTACATCCATGTCTTGAACACTGTTTATATTTTCTATAAAGATTTGCAATTGTATTTTAAAATTATATACAGAGAGCTGTTATTATTATTATTTTAGGCTCAGCCAAATCTACTCCAATGAAGAGGGCTAACCACACCACATCATCTGATTTAGCAACAAGTAGAAATACCCAGAATTCAGCAGCTAATAGGTGTGTTTTTGATATATACTTACCTAAGTTTTGTTTTAAACTCAATTGACTAATTGTGCTGTAGTAACAGCTTACTTAATTTCAGAGACTTTATTTAGTAATTAAACCTTTATTAATCATGGCTTTCTAAATTTAATGCAATGAATAAATCAATTATGTGCATGTCAAATTGAATATTACAGATTATTTAATAAATTATTGCATGATTTTAAATTAGTAGAAACTTCAGTTTGGATTTATATAGTTACAGCTCATTTCACCTCTGTTACTTTGTCAGTATAATCTTCTTTACTCACAATAACCATGCCTTTTCCTTTGTCTGGTTTAGTAATAAAAATATTGTTGTTGGATTGAAGCGTACATAGAGGTGTCTTCTCTTCTTTGCTGATGTTTAAATGCTTATGTCCAAAATTATAGGAATGCAACCCTAACATTATTATTTGTTTTGTCATATAGTGGATAAATGTAATAAGTTTTGAGTTTTTGTAGTAAGAGCTCAAAAGAAGCCAAGATAATCATGATACTGAAGTTTTCGTGGTGCTAAATAAAAAAACCCTTTTTCTACTTCTCCTAGTGTAAAGCTACATAATTTAAAAATAACTTTATCTGGAGAATCTAAAGATTTATTGCTTTTTTGAAATGTTTTTGAAGATTGTAGTTTAATTTTTGGTGATAAACATTTTAACATCAGCAAAGACAAGAAGATAGACTTAGTCACACTTTCATCCAACAGAAATATTGTTACTACTAAACCAGACAAAAAAAATGGCATAGTTCATTTCATTTCTAAGTCTTTTATTCTGATTTTTAACTTACAGGAGTGGCACGGATGACAGGTCAGGAGATGTAATTGATGACATAGAAAACATGCTGGTCAATTTATCCAATCAGTTAGATGCCATGTTAGAGACAGAGACCAATGGTTGAAGAAAATTGGCCCTACTCATTATAGCTTCTATGTGTTACAAACAAAATACATTTGTTGTAGAGGTCAACTACGCTATTGTCTATCGTAGGAACTTTGTATACTATAAGTGATGATCCATATTCATCATTTTTACTGTTCTTTTTTCTTTGCCCTTAATACTGAAATGCTAAATCTTTAAAACAGCTCAAATATTTCTGCACATAAAGGTATTTTTCAGTTATAGTGACTGGAAAGTCATGTCTGTTGTTTACTGCCATACTTCTGAAGTTTACTTGAAATTGAAAATATCCGAATTGTTTATTTACAAAGTAATGTCTGATGTGCACAATTGTACCTTTGATGTTCTCTTGCTAAGATATCTGAAAGTGTTGACAACCACAACATAATATCTGATATGTACTGTCTTACTTATAAACTTTCCTTGATTAAATAAGTTTTAGAATTGAGTGATTAAACCTGATATTTGTTTATCAATCATCTAAAATTCATGTAAAATATCATAAGTTTAAAAATTAAGTTTGATGTATTCTATCATATATAAAACTTCTGAAACTTGAAACTTTTAACAATTTGAAGATATGTGGCATGTAATGTCATGCATTTGAAACATGACTTGGTAAAATATCTTAAAGTTTTGAAAAACTAGAAGATAACATGTGATATGTATTATGGTATTTCTATAGCTAATATGGTATACCAAACTTTACAGGTATAACATAATATCTGACCTGTAGTGGAATATTTTTAAATTTCATTTTATAAATATCTTAAAAGTTTTGGAACCAGAAGCTAACAACTGAGATCTACCATTATACTTATTAAGTTGACTTTGTAAAATATTGAAAAATTATTGAGATTTGTTAGACAAAGTCTTGTAGGTACTGTCATATTCTTATGGCATTCCACAAAATATATAGACTTTATCTTTTGGATATATTAATAAAACATAGTGCAGTTCAAGGTTGAAAAATGTCTCATTTGTACTGTGACAACATGCATGTATATACTGTTTTTTTTATAACTACAAATTATAAACTAATTGAAATCTCAGAAATCTTTCAGTGTTGAAAGATTTGACTAAGAGGTATTTATTAAGAAGTTTACTTCTGTATTGCTTATGTAACAAACCTTCAAAGCTTTTTTTTTTGCATCCATTCAATTTCTACAGATATGGACCATTGTAGAATGACTTATAATGGAGCAATTCTTCCTAATTCAAAAAAAATATTTAAATGACCAAAAAAGATTGGCAAAATGAGTTTAACTTCAGTATGATAATCTGCCTTCTTTGTAATCTAACAAACAAATTCCTGAATATGGGCTCAAAATATTTTTTTTTATCAACCCCACTTTTAGAAGCTTCAACTTGCTCCTATATGTAACTTGTTCTTGTATGTTATATTAATTTAAATTAATTTCTTAAAAAGTTAGATTAATAAACTTAATACCTACCATTTTATTATTGTAAAAATTTTGTCATGTTTAAACTTAACAAAATAATATTCTAATTTAGGCCCAAAATCTTACTCCTATTTTATAATTTTATCATTCTATCTAGAAGTTTGAACGGTGCTCTAATATGTGTATTTTTTGCTGTATACTATTTACACTGCAGTTGATTTTTTGTTAAGTTTTAATTTGACCGTGTGAATACCTTCCGGTACTTGTAGAGCTTTCTTGTAACATTTGTTTCAGTGCTCCATGTGAGACAATAGACAAATCAAAGAACAGGGTTATTCAGTAGTGATTTTAAAGGTTCTGAACTTCCACTTATGTGTAGTCTTGAAATTGGATAAAATGAGTCGTTTTTAAATTAATTACTCTTGATAGTTTTCAGTTTAACAATGTTGTATGGCAGTAGCTGTACAAGTACAGAGAGAGTTTTTCTAACTGATAGATTATATATGTATGTACATAAATTATTAGTCTATAAAAATGGACTTATGTGGCTTATATATATAGAGGGACTTGGGAAATGCTAATTTAAATGTTATAACCAAATGATGTAAAGCAGATTTTTTGTTTCTTTAAAATAAGCAGGATTCTTGGCTATCTTAGCCTTTGGTTGATAACTAATGTTGCCAAGTCCTGTTTTAATCAGGTATTAAACTTAGCTTTTGTCATCACCCAGTGTATGATGCTTTTTTTGTGTGAATAAAAGTGACATTAGTTTCTGGACTAGATTACTTGAGGTATTTATATTTGACATCAAAACAACAATAGGAATGTTAACATCACTTTCTGGTATATGAAAATGAGCACAGTTTAGGGCTAATTGTTGTCTTTACTCTTTATTCAGTATATAAGTTGAATCTTTTTTTTTCTTTGTAAATGAAAATTGTGGTTGGAATGCCATTATTATACATTCTTCTAATTCTTGAAAATCTCTAAGTGACTAGATAAAGAATGCAGTGTGAAAAAATATAATAGGCTTAATAATTACAAGTATAACTAAGTGTAATCATGTTTCATCAACTTAAAAAAGGTTTTCACAACATAATTGTTGTTATGACAAATGGCTTATGTAAGTAGCATTCTGACATTTACTGTGTTTCTCGTGTCCCAGCCAGCCTGATGAACTCTGAATTGAGCAAAACACATTGTTGGCAATGGATATAGTGAACATATTGTGGTTGGAATATATTATTATACACTCTTCTAATTCTTGTGTATTTAGCAAAGCTACTAAGGCTATTTGTAATTTTGAACTACTGATCAGAGGGAAGGCAGCCAGTCAACAGCACCCTACCACCTATGCTAAGGGATTAGTTGTCACTTTTATAAAGCACCCACAGTTGAAGTGCAGGAAATAACTTGTGGTGTCAGAGGAATTTGAGAGCCTGGTGCTCAAGGCACTTTACTCGCAATGTGAGAGTCGTAAGTTTGAATCCCCCGCTACTGAATACTCTCGTGCTCTATGGTTGCTGACTGGATTAGCCACCTGGGTGTAAATATTACAAAAATTACAAGTCGATCCCTAATTCAATGGGATCAAATTCCAAAAGAAAAAAAAATCAGGGAAATTTGAAGAAAATAACTTGCCAGATTTGAAATCCAAAGGTCCTATAACATCTTACTGCACTGTTATACATTTGGAGGCATTATTGATTTACAAGAGGACCAACCATACCACATCATCTGATTTAGCAACAAGTAGAAATATCCAGGTTTAGCTCATTTTACACATTACTATTTTTTTTATAATTATTTTGTATTATTCATTTACACCTATTACACAGTAAGTCTATGTAATTTTAAATGAGCACATTTACTTGAACTTGGGAGTAAATTAGATGTAAACTGGTATAAATAAAAATCTAGCAAACAAGTCAGTACAAGAAAAATGGTAGAAGAGATAATGATATGTGAAAAGATTCTCATAAGCTTGTTCCATTAGCATTCCAATTCATCACATTTAAGTTCTTGGGGCTGTATTAGCTGATTACATATTCTGTGAGGCACTTACTGTCAACCAATCATTCAAGGTTTATCCTGGAGATAACTTCATCACTGAAGTTCATAAACTGGAGGTATGCTGTTGCTGCTTCTATATTTCTACTTTTCATTCAAAGAGTTAAAAGTATAGATTTATGTTTATGATTAAATCTTTCCCTATTAATAGAAAAGTATTACAGTAATTTTGGGGTATACTGAAATGAAGTTGGAAAAAATGTAAATATTAACAATTATAATAATAAAAAAACAGCTGTGAAAAGGATAAACATTTGGCAAGAGCTTCTAGCGTAGAAAGAATACATGTTTGATCTGTTAGTGACACATAGTGTTGTTGATGCTATAATGACTATATGAAAAATAATCTATTATTAGTTATTGCAACTTCATTGTTGTTTAGAAGTAAATTATTTTTATTATTTGATTACCATAAGTAATTAGTAAGGTTTATGATCCTAATACATGGTAATGTATCCATTTCATTTAGGTATAGCCATTCTAATTTTTATGTCCAGTAACTAGTTGAGTAAGTGTTTCATTTGCTACAAGAACACTTGATTAGCGTTATTGTTTCCATACCTACTCTTACCAATCAATTTTACTTTGATTATAATGATGGATATACAAACTGGATTATGAATGAGTTTCTGATAGAACTCTTCTCAAAAATATTTTCTGTAGATTGCAGCTTACATATGTTAGAATTACTTAATTCAATGGCTTACAAATATACCTCAAACTAAGGCCTCTTTCTGAAGAAATCTATTGTCTGTAATGGCTTATAAATATACCTCAAACTAAGGCCTCTTTCTGAAGAAATCTATTGTCTGTAATGGCTTATAAATATACCTCAATCTAAGGCCTCTTTCTGAAGAAATCTATTGTCTGTAATGGCTTATAAATATACCTCAAACTAAGACCTCTTTCTGAAGAAATCTATTGTCTCTAATGGCTTACAACTATACCTCAAACCAAGGTCTCCCTGAAGAAATCTATTGTCTGTAATGGCTTACAAATATACCTCAAACCAAGGTCTCCCTGAAGAAATCTATTGTCTGTAATGCCTTACAAATATACCTCAAACCAAGCTTTCTGAAGAAATCTATTATTTCTAATGGCTTACAAATATTCCTCAAAACAGGATCTCTCTCTGAAGAAATCTACTATTTGTAAAGGCGTACAAATATACCTGAAACCAAGGTCTCTTTCTGAAGAAATGTAATGTCTTACACATGTTCCTCAAAGCAAGGTTTCTCTTTGAAGAAATCTATAGCCTATAATGGCTTACAAATATACCTCAAACCAAGGTCCCTTTCAAAGAAAAATAATTCAGCTGTTTAAGTCTGCTTATAAATATATTGTTACGACAGCGGAAGTCACGCGACGCTGGGAGCATGCGCGCTGGAGTTTCTTAAAGGATCGGGGAACCTCACGAATGTCCCAGCGTTTGCTAGACGCCCTCTTTTTTAGTATATAAGCCGGCAGATAGATTGATAGATGGAGATAATTGAGTCAAGCGAAGAGTAGGCACCGTAAATAAAGTGTGTGAATCGCTGTGAATTATAGCGTGTGTTTATAAAAGTAGTTAAGTTT